AAAGAGCCCTGGTAAAAGTAATTATGTAATATAAAAGACAGTATAAATGCACATTTTCTACTTTATTGTCTTAACTTATTTGCAAAGCAGGTGTATAAAACAATATGTATATAATGTGTTGGGAAAATAATATTAATATAGTAATAACAGCACAAAAGAACAAAAGAGGTGGGAGGAAACAAAGCTGTACTGAGATAAGAAAACAACTCCAGATAGTTACTCAAACTCACAGGAAAAAATGAGGAGAACCCAAATAAGAAGAAATTTAATATAACAAAATATGTAAATACATACTTATTCTTCTCTTAGCTTCTTTAAAATACATGCAATTCTATAAGGTAATAATCATTGCAAAGTATTTTTGGGTCTGTAACATTTATAGATGTAGTATGTATAACAATATTACCTCAAAAATGGAGAAGAGGGAATAGACCCTTATAGGAGTACCATTTCTCTATCTTATTGGAATTAAGTTAGCATAAATCTGAACCTATTTCTGAAAAGCCCTAAAGCAAGATTTAAGGAAATAACTCAAAAATGAAATAACTAAAAAAATATAGCAAAAGTCACTAAGTAAATTAAAATGAGACATTAGAATATATTCATGGAGGGTTGACAACAGCATCACAGAAGAGTGAGTTGTTCCCTTTGTCTCTCCCCTCTAAGTTACAAATAAATGGACATTCATTAACCAGTAGAGGATTCCCTGCACAGCACAATGGGATGCCTAAGAGATCCACACAGCTGTGCATCTGAAGGTAGGTGGACTGCATCCCCAGGAGGCAGTGGAACCAGGTGAGCATACCCTTTCCCCTCCCTGGCAGCAGCGAGCCAGGTCACAGATCCTCACACAGTGGCTGGTGTGACTGTCAGAGGAGGCAGGGGCAGCTCAGCCAACAGAAACACTTTCAGAGTTGTAGCCCAGCCCACAGGACTGCCCAATGTGCCACAGTAGCCCCATTGGTGGGAACACTCTACACTGAGTGGTGTTGACTCAGCCCACATGAAGGCACCTGCCTGCCAAGCACAGCACTGGCAAGAAGGCACCCCACCCATGGAGTACAGCAGCATGTGGGAGCCACGGAGTGATAGCTCAGCTCCCACCTGGGTGCCCTCCCACCTAGCACAGTGCAAGTGAGGTGTTGTTCCACCTGCTCAGAGGCACTCTGCCCATGGAGGACAACAGCTCATAGGACCCATGGAGTGGCAGCTCAGCCCCAGCAGAGGCACCCGTCCTGCCTAGCACAGCAGCTTAGTTGTTCCCCTGCCAAGTGCAACAGCCCCGCCTGCAAGAGAGCGATTGATCCTCTGAGCACAGAGCCTCCGCCTAGGGTGCATGACCTGGCTGCTCGGCACAGAGGCCCTGACCATGTGAGCACAACCTGTAGAGTGGCTGTGGCCAGCCCACACAAATGCAGAGCAGCCCTACTGCACAACTTGCAGCAGATGGGGCATGATCAGAAAACACAGCTTCTGCCCCCCCAGTGGTGGCAGGTGGAATCTGTGACATTATACTGCCACAAAAGTGCTGGGGAAGGATCAATTCATCAAACGCCATGAAGAACTACAGTAATACTTCAGTGCAGAAGGAAAATGACAAGTCTCTAGAAACCAATCGTGAACTCACAGAAATTTATATTCTAAATGACAGAGAATTCAAAATAGTTGTCATAAAGAAAATGAGTTACAAGAAAAGTCAGAAAAACGGTTCAGTGAACTCAGGAATAAAATGAGCAGAAGGAATACTTCAACAAAGAGAATGAAACTCTAAAAACAAAACCAAACAGAAATTCTGGATATGAAGAAAAAAATTAATGAGATAAAACATAGTCTAGAAACCATGAAAAATAGAACTGATGTTATGGAGGACAGATAGTGAATTCGAGGATAGAAATATAGAAATACTTCAGGTAGAGGAAGAGAGAAAAGAACTAAGATTTTTTAATTTTTCCACAAATATTCAACTCAATTAGGAAAAGCAATATAAAGATTATAGGTGTTGCAGAGGGAGAAGGGAGGGAGAAAGGAGCACAGAGCTTGTTCAAAGAAATAATAGCTGAGAACTTCTCAAACCTGGGGAAAGAGCTGGACTTACAAGTATATGAAGTCAAAAGAACTCCTAATTACATCAATGCAAAAAGAACTTATCCAAGGCATATAATATTAAAACTGGCAAAAGTCAATGACAAAGGAAAAATATTAAGGGCAGCAAAGCATAAGAAAATAGCTTACAAAGGAACTCCTCTCAGGCTTTCAGTATTTCTCAGCACAAACCTTACTAGAAGAGAATGGAATGATATATTCAAAATACTGAAAGACAAAAACTTTCAGCCAACAATATTCTATCCAGCAAAACTGTCCTTCAGATACAATGGAAAAATAAAAGCTTTCCCAGATAAACAAAACAAATGGAGGGAATTCATTGTACTAGACCTCCGTTACAAGAAATTATGAAAGAAGCCTTCCTACTTGTAACAAAAAGGCACAGGTTTACAAAGCTTTGAGCAAAGAGATAAATAGACAGACAAAATCAGAAAATTGCAGCTCTGTATCAGAACAGGTTAGCAAACAATTATAACATAAAAGATAAAGGGAAAGAAAGCATTAAAAAGAATTATAAACACTTCAATCTAGTCACAAACTCACAACACAAAAAATAATAATTTGTGACAACAATAACTCAAAAGGGGAAAAGGAAAGGGATGGAATCTGCTTAGGCTAATGTAGATAAGAAGCTATCAGAAAATGTACTATCTCATCGATGAGATCTTTTATACAAACCTCATGGTAACCACTAAAAAAATGAGAGCAGAGCCACAATTCCTAAATAAAGAGAAAACCATTGCAGGAAACCACCAAACTGAAATGGCAATCACAAATATAAGTAAAAAGAAACAATGGAAATACAGAACACCCAGAAAACAAGATATAAAATGGCAGTATTAAGCTGTCATATATCAATAATCACTCTAAATGTAAATGGATTGAGTTCTCCAATCAAAAGACACAGAGTGGCAGGATGGATTAAAGAACAAGACCCAACAATATGCTGCCTCCAGGAAACACATCTCAACTCTAGAGACAAACACAGGCTCAGAGTCAAAGGATGGAAGACAAACTCCAAGCTAATGGCAAACAAAGAAAGCAGGTGTTGCCATACTCATATCAGACAAAGTGGACTTCAAGATAGAAAAGGCAATGAGACACAAAGAAGGGCAGTATATAATGATAAAAAGACATTCCACCAAGAGGACATAACACTTATAAATATATGTGCAGCCAACACAGAAATACAAAAGATTATAAGAAAATATTATGAAAAAGTATACACCAACAATGTGGACAATGTAGAAGAAATGGATAAACTCTTAGACTCTTACAACCTCCCAAAATTGAATCAAGAAGAAATAGAGAATCTAAATAGACCAATCACAAGTAAAGAGACTGAAACAGTAATAAAAAACCTCCCCCAAAATAAACGTCCAAGACCAGAAGGCTTCTCGGGAGAATTCTACCAAACATTCACAGACAATTTATTACTTATTCTTCTCAAACTATTCCAAAAAATTGAGGAAGACAAAAATATTCCTAACACATTCTATGAGGCCAACATCACCCTGATACCAAAACCAGACAAGGAAAATACAAAGAAGGAAAATTACAGGCCAATATCGCTGATAAACATAGATGCAAAAATCCTCAACAAAACATTGGCAAACCAAATACAGCAATACGTTAAAAAGATCATACATCATGATCAAGTGGGATTCATACCAGGGACACAGGGATGGTTCAACATCCACAAATTAGTCAATATGATATACCATATTAATAAAAGAAGGAACAAAAACCACAAGATCATCTCCATAGATGCAGAGAAAGCATTTGACAAGATCAACATCCATTCATGATAAAAACTCTAATAAAATGGGTATAGAAGGAAAATACCTCAACCTAATACAGGCCATATATGACAAACCCACTGCCAACATCATACCCAATGGGGAAAAACTGAAAGCCATCCCTCTGAGAACAGGAACAGGGATTAGACTACCTTCATCCTAATGCAATGGTAAATCTTTCCATCCTGCAGAGAAGGTCTATCAAATATTATATGTATTCTGATAAAGTACAAATCACCATATATGATATAGGCTGAAAAAAAATCATCACCTATAATCCACCGAACATTTTTTTTTTTGAGGAAGATTAGCCCTGAGCTAACATCTGCTGCCAATCCTCCTCTTTTTGTTTAGGAAGGCTGGCCGTGAACTAACATCCGTGCCCATCTTACTCTGCTTTATATGTGGGACACTTACCACAGCATGGCTTGCCAAGCGGTGCCATGTCCACACCCAGGATCCAAACCCACGAACTCCAGGCTGCCGAAGAGGAATGTGCAAACTTAACCGCTGTGCCACCAGGCTGGCCCCTACATCAAACTTTTACATATACCTAGCCAAAAGCCTAATTTCACATCTGAACTCTATCAAGTTATTCTTGAGTTAAAGAGGAAATACAAACTAAAATTTTAAAACTTTAAAAAAGATAATTAGGGGCTGGCCTGGTGGTGCAGCGGTTAAGTGTGCATGTTCCGCTTCAGCGGCCCAGGGTTCACCAGTTCAGATCCCAGGTGCGGACATGGCACAGCTTGGCACGCCATGCTGTGGTAGGTGTCCCACATATAAAGTGGAGGAAGATGGGCGTGGATGTTAGCTCAGGGCCAGTCTTCCTCAGTGAAAAGAGGAGGATTGGCAGCAGTTAGCTCAGGGCTAATCATCCTCAAAAAAAAAAAAAAGATAATTAGAACACTATACATCAGATCTTATGTGAGAAGGCAAAGCTATTTTCAGAAGAAAACAGTGTTTTATAGTGCTAAAAAATGTCAGAAAGTTTAAGAGAAATAGTGAAATAAAATTTAGTAATTACAAGTTTGGGGGTTCCCAGGATAATTCCAGTGAATTATTGCTAGAAGGACTCACAGAACTCACTGAAAGCTGTTACAATCACAGTTACAGTTTATTACAGTGAAAGCATACAGATTAAGTTAAGGGGAGAGTCACACAGGGCAGAGTCCAGCAAAGGTCCAAGAGCAAAGCCTCCAAGTGTCCTCTCCCAGAGAAGCCAGAGATAATACTGACTTCTTCCAGCAAGAACGTGTGACTAAGCATGGAGTACTGCCAAACAGGGAAGCTCACCTGAGCCTTGATGTCCAGAGTTTCTACTGGGGCTCAGTCACATAAATATGGTTGACTGTCTGCAGGCTGACCTTAGTTTGCAAACTTTGAGCTCATACTGCACAACTCAAAACTCCAACCATAAATCACACTGTTAGACTATATGGTGTTTACTGTCAGGTAAACAAAGGTATTTATCGGGCAGAACATTCTAAGGGCTTAGTGATCACCTCTCAGGAGCCGAGGGCAAAGGCAAGACCTTTCTTTCTATAAAGTTAATTCTTTACTACACAGGAATAAACATTGAGAAAATATTACATAAATAAAATAATAGTATGTATTAGAAAAACTCAGAAATGAGGTGATAGAATGCAAGAACTACAAATGAAAGTTCACCAGAAGTGAAGACAAACAAGCGGTGAAGAAAAACAATCAATAAAACTACAGATCATCCAGAACCACAGTTCTTGAGATTTTATGTCAAGACAAACCAAATTTTTAAAAATACAAATTTTCAAAATAAAAAGGATACAAACAGCCAGGGGCGCATGTGTCTGCCATGAGAGTGTCGAGTCCTGGGATAAGGAGATCAATTCACTTGGTCCATATACCTGCCATGATGAGAGTGGTGGGTCTTAGGATCAGGGCTTACTCACCCACAGCCTCTATGACATTTCCACTCCTCCCCCCACTAAATTTCAAAATAAAAGTAGAAAAAGAGAAGAGTTCACATCTCCTCTGTGAGAGTGGTGGAAGCTGGAGCTGGTGGAGGAGCTCAATTTTCTTGATGACAACTGGGGAGAGAATCAGGGTCCAGGCCCATGTGTTGACATGCACAGAGAAACTTAGAAGAAGTTACAGGCTGCATGGAAGGCAGACTGGCTATGTGTAGAGTAACTGAGTAATAAGTAAATACATTGAAACTATCTGGAAACAGGATTCTCACGGTCAGAAAAGAGAGGTATAAATATGTAAAGGAAGAGTCTAATAAACCCTGGTAAGTTGGATTGGAATTAGAGGTGTCAGTGTGCACTAAACAATTTAAAAAAGTGTTTAAATTTTAACAAAGCACAATTCTATATCCAGTGTTTATATATAGAAAATATATTCAAGAATGAATGCCAAATAAAGACATTTTTAGGTTAAAAAAAAAACAGAATTTGTCACCAATAGACCTGCATTACAAGAAATGCTAAAAGGAAGCTCTTCAGGCTGAAACAAAATGCTACCAGTGGGAAAATGGGATCTTCAGGACGAAAGGAAGGAAGCATAAATGGTAACTCTGGATAAATGTAATAACTCTTTCTATCATCTCAGTTTCTTTAAACTACACATGAGTATTCAAAGCGAAAATATTATTAGTGTGTTGTGTGGTTTATATTTTATGTAAATATAGCATAAATAGCTAGGGTGACTATATTAATTTCAGATAAACTACACCAGTGATAGAGGGACATTTTATGATAGAAGAGTCAGTATGTGAGGAAGGCACAATTATCATATATGTGTCTGTACCTAAAAGCACAGCATCAAAAACTGCTGCACTTCCGTGACCCTAAAAATGAACGCCTCCTTAAATGTTGAACCCTGGGTGCTTTACTCACTTCAGCATTACAGTAGTTCCAGCCCTCATTTTAATATCTATCTCTCAGCAATCACAAAAAAAGGACAAAAAAATCATAAAGATATTAATGGACTATCAACCAACTTGGACTAATTAATATTTGTACAATAATTCACCCAACAACCATCAAATACATATTCCTTTCAAGTACATATGGCATATTCATCAATGTAGACTATATACGGGGCCATACAAAAAGAATCAATGAATGTCAAAGGGTCAAAATCATACACAATGTATGCTCTGATCAAATGGGACTAAATTGGAAATGAGTAACAATGAAGCATCTAGAAAGCCCACATATGTTTGGAAAGTAAACACCACACTTCTCTATAATCAATGGGTTAAAGAAAAAGTCAAAAGGGAAATAAAATATTTTAAACTGATTGATAAAAATGCAATATATAAAAATTTGTGGAATGGAGTTAAAATAGGGAATTTCTGGCTTTAAATGTTATATTAAAAGAAAAGAAAGGTCTAAAATCAGTAACCAGAGGTCCAATTTAAGAAGCCAGAAAAGGAAAAGCAAAGTAAAGCCTCAGTACCTAGAAGGAAATAAGAAAAGAAATAAATGACATACAAAATAGACATAAAATTAACCAAACCAAAAGTGATTTTGTTAGAAAGAGCAACGGAATTGATTAAACTCTAGCTAGAATTACCAAAAATAAAAAACTGCAGAGACAAGTCACCAATATCAAGAATGAAAGAGCTGATCGCCAAGGAACATATAATTATTAGAAGTCTAAGAGGGAATTATTACAAGCTACTTCATTCCAACAAATGTGACAACTCAAGAGAAACGGACAAAATTCTTGAAAAATACAACTTACTTTAAAACAAATACAAGATGAAATGGAAGATTTGCATAACCTAATACCTATTAAAGAAATCGAAATTATTATCAAAAACAAAGAAAATGCCAGGCCCAGCTGGTTTTACTAGAGGTTTCTACCAAACATTTAAGGAAGAAATCATACCAATAATCATACCAATCATACAGACTTTTCCAGAAAATAGAGAAGGAGAAGACAGTTCACATCTTGTTTTATGAGGCCGGTGCTACACCAATACCAAAACCTGACAAAGATATTACAAGAAAAGAAAATGACATACCAAAAACTTCATGCAAAATTTCTTTTTTTTTTCTTTGAGGAAAATTAGTCCTGAGCTAACTACTGCCAGTCCTCCTCTTTTTGCTGAGGAAGTCTGGCCCTGAGCTAACATCTGTGCCCATCTTCCTCTACTTTATATGTGGGACGCCTACCTCAGCATGGCGTGCCAAGCGGTGCCATGTCCGCGCCCGGGATCCAAACCTGTGAACCCCAGGCCGCTGAGAAGCGGAACGTGCGAACTTAACCGCTGCACCACGGGGCCGGCCCCTTCATGTAAAATTTCTTAAGAAAATGTTAGCAAATTGGAACATGCTCCTCCTGTGCTTCTCCTTTACTCTTACACTACTACCACACTTCACTTCACTTTTGGTCACCAAATGTATGGGTTCCCCCCACCCCACACCAAGCAATTCTCTAACACCAGCTGGGGCTCCCACAATTTAACTTAGTTCTGATGCTATCTATCTGGAGATAACATCAGATCCCACAGATTAAGAACTCAGTCCTACAAGATTGAACCCCCACCCTCCGTTTGAGATACCAATCTCAAGTCCCAGGTACTGTACTCTTTAAAGGTGGGTCAGAAATAACATTGAGCATCTTTACCAACACAGTGTAACACCTAGTTTCTTTGACAATGAATAGGCCTTACATGTCCCACAAGTCACATCTAGCTCCCTGGATATCAAGGAAGGTAGAAATTATATGAAGGGCCTGAGAAAGGTATGAATATCATGAAGAATGCTGAAGGTGTTTAATGGAGGTATCATCTGCAACACAACAAAGTTTAACCCATTCTTTTGAAAACAAGGTGAAAAAATTCACCTAGTTTCTTAAAAAATAGGCTTGATAGTCCAGAGAGCATATTGTGAATTATTTGAAGCAGATAGCTTACCCAGTGAGACTAAGCAGCTGTTCTCCATCATTACATCCCAGAACAGCTCCCTGAGCAGAACCAGATATTCCCACTCCTCCGGAGGGAAGCCTAGGGCCGCATTCCTGAATGTTACCCATGCCTAAAACCATAAACCCAAGTATTACTGGTGAAATTCAAAAACTGTTTTCGAAATGGGAAAAGAGTAGATAAAGGTTTGAAATCCAAGAAGGGGGCTATACAGCAAGCAAACAGGCTATGGCTAGAAGTCCATAGATAGATAGATGAGTCAAGAAATTAGTGTTTCAGGGCTGGCCCCGTGGCCGAGTGGTTAAGTTCGCGCGCTCCGCTGCAGGCGGCCCAGTGTTTCCTTAGTTCGAATCCTGGGCGCGGACATGGCACTGCTCATCAGACCACGCTGAGGCGGCGTCTCACATGCCACAACTAGAAGAACCCACAACGAAGAATACACAACTATGTACCGGGGGGCTTTGGGGAGAAAAAGGAAAAAAATAAAATCTTTAAAAAAAAAAAAAAAGAAATTAGTGTTTCAGAAACAGATTCTCTACATATTTTTAAGAAATTTAATTGAGTTAGACAAAAGTTTCTGCCTGTTATGTGATTCCTCAATTATCCAAACATGTCTAGAAACATGGCTAGAAATGAATAAAATAATCACAATTAGTGAAATAGTGAATATAAACATACTGCATGCCATATGCCTGCCTCATAAATTATCAATAAATGTGAATTCTTCTATCCTCTTTTTCCATTACAGACTAAGAAAATATAATTTATAGAATTTCTTTTCCAATATAGTATTAAATCTAGCTTAGATAATAGAGTTTGCATAAAATTAAAGAATTTCTTCAAGCCTCACATTCATCAATATGTCACATACAATGTTTTTTCTACTTATTTTAATGGTTTAATACTTCACACCAAATTATCATTCTCTAACCTATTTGGGTTTGGGTGTAAGACCGTTATTTTTAAATATATCCTAAGTACTACTCTTTCTTATGCCAATTAGTAAGTTTTTTTTTTACTAGCTACAATATAGTCCATCATCCTTAACTATTCTTTGATACTATACTACTTTGTATACTATGCTTTGGTTGGAGAAAAAAAATCTCTAACATCTTTTGTACTGATAGGAGTCTATAGTTATCTACTCCTTTGAAATCTGGATAATCCGCCATCCCTCACTGAATACTTTCCTTGGTCTTGAGTTAGAGGAAACAAAATGCAGAATGGTCCAGAATCACAGAGTTAATCATGTTAAGCCAGCACAATCTTTTTAAGTACACAAAAGATCTTCCTCCCGGTATTCACCTTTCTGAGACTGATTCCCAAGATAGAGCCCCAATCTCTCTGTATGCAGGTCCCAATCTTACCCCTATCCAATCCTAAAAGCCTCACAGAACCTGGAATCATAACACATACCAACACTGAAGCCAGTCAACTGCCAATCTTATATTTTCCTAGAAAATGCAAAGAATTTCCAAGTTTTTCCATGAGTAATCAAATGGGACCACCTTCTCTGAATCATACCTCCACCATTTTTTGGATGGTCAAATACCTCTTTCTCAAGGGATTTAATTTTACTCCATAACTCTTCTTGAAAGAAGGCTGAACTTATAGGAGATGCTACACATTAATGGGAGACTAGAGGGACCCATCAGGATCCCTTGGGCTGTCTGGCATCATCCTTCACTGGTATGAGAGGAACAGCTTCTTAGATAGATCTCTGTTACAGAGGATATTTCAAAATAAGGAAATGTTCACATGATCTAATATGTAACCATGTCCAAGATCTAGAGACAAAAAGCCATGGTTAAAAATAGTTAAGAACTTGTCAGTACTCCTCAGTGGTCCACTCTTGGAGAAGCCCAGAGCCCACAGAGGCAAGAACTGGCAAAAGAAAAGTTGGCTATGAGACCAGATGTACCTCTCAGCTCCCAAAATGATGTACATTAATATAAGCTTTTTCCTTCTGTCTTCCTTCCTGCAAACAATACGCAGAAAGTGAGGGAGGTAAGAGGGATTCTGGACAAACCCAAACCCTCCACTCACAAGGAATCCAGTAGACAGGCACAAACACCAAGCAGAGGTCCTCCTTCTGGAAGCAGGATCCAGACACTTCAGCAGGAGGTTTCTGGCCCGTGCTCCACTCTGCTAATGGCTGGGCCTCAGATTGGGCACATCCTGAGCAGATACTGCTCCCTCTATTCCATTTTCCAGGGCTGCAAAGGGGTGACACCATTCACACCAAAATCTCCTCTGTGGCCTCAGGGACTGTCACATATTATAAATTCCAATAAGGCCTACAAGAATATTTCAGGTCCTGCATGTTTTTCCAGAACTTTGCCACTCACTCATCAAGAAGTGGAGTTTATTTCCCTTCCTCTTGGAACAGAGCAGGCCTTTGCGATTCTCTTAATGAACAGAACACAGTGGAAATGACACTGTATCTTCCAAGGCTAGGTTAGGAAAGGCAACAGAGCTTCCTACCAACTCTCTCAAGACACTCACCCTGAAACCCAGCCATTTTGCTGTGAGGAATCCAAGCAGCTACATAGAAAAGGCCACAGCTAGATATTCCAACCGCACTCCAGCTGACTGCCAGCATCAACCACTATACATGTAAGTGAGCAAGGCTTCAGATGATTCCAGCCCCCAACCTTCAAGCCACTCCAGCTGAAGCCAAGTAGACCAGAGACTAGCTGTCCCCACAAAGCTCTGCCCAATGAACAGATTCATAATCAAAATAAATGTTATCATTGTTCTACAGCTAAGCCACTGAGTTTTAGGGTGGTTAGTTATGCAGAAAATGGGAATACCTAGTCATCCCACATGCAAAGGCAGAAAACAATGCAGTTGCAAAAAAGCCTGGCACGCCATGCTGTGGTAGGCATCCCACATATAAAGTAGAGGAAGATGGGCACAGATGTTAGCTCAGGGCCAGTCTTCCTCAGCGAAAAGAGGAAGATTGGCAGCAGTTGGCTCAGGGCTAATCTTCCTCAAAAAAAAAAAAAAAGTGGGAGCTGCACAGCCAGTAGAAGGAATTGCCCAGGTAATATTCAGCTTTAGCAATAGCTTATTGGTTTAAAATAAATTACAGAATATCCACTCATGACTACTAAGGTAGTCATTAAATGCAAAGTTGTAAAAAATATTTATAGTTAAGTATGTAATCAATTATATATCAATAAAACCAGGAAAAGGAGCCGGTCCCATGGCCGAGTGGTTAAGTTCGTGCACTCTGCTTCAGCGGCCCAGGGTTTCACCAGTTAGTTCGAATCCTGGGCACAGACGTGGCGCCGCTCATCAAGCCATGCTGAGGTGGCATCCCACATGCCAAAACTAGAAGGACCCACATCTAGAAATACCCAACTATGTACTGGGGGCTTTGGGAGCAAAAGGAAAAAATTAAAAATTAAAAAAATATATATAAAATAAAACTGGGAAAAAAGAATATGAAAAATATTCAAAACATACTCAATAGTAAAAAAATCAATCCATAAACACAATATCATTTTCCTTGTAAAATATGTGCATATATAAACAAAAGAAAAATGTCTGGAAAGCTATGCAACCTTATGTTAGCATTGCTTCTCTGTGTTCTTCTATATGATTTTCTTTTTCTTTAAGACTACTTCTTAACAGTGGCCATGTATTAATATAAATACGCATTTTTAAATTCTGTAAAAAGGAAGCTTTTCTTCAAAAAGATATTAATATTAATACATGGCCACTGTTAAATTAAGAAGTAGCCTCAAACAGTCTTCCCTTGAACTTCAAGAACATGGTCAGGACAAATAGGTGCCAAGTCTGAATGGCTTTTCTTTGTTTCCTTCATCTCCCAACAGCTGATTTACATTTTAGTTTTTACATATGGCCAAGAAAGTTGGGGTTTTACCTAGAGAAGAATGGTTAAAAGTCCCTGAGAGAAGTCTCATAGGTATTGATGATGTTCTAAATGCTTTTATGTCTTCCTAATATATTGGGTTGAACTTTCAGCCCTAATGCCCTCAAAACACCTAGTTAATCCTGTTCTATTAGTCTCACTTTACATCTAATCTCACTAAAAAACTATAAGGCATAAAGCTCATTGAATAAAACATGTTCACCTCCACAGAGCTCTTATGTCTTCAGTATAATTTGGTCATAACCTGAGAACGCTTGCTGTCATCAGAATGTCTCTTCCCTATGACTTCCCAGTATGTGTTATCTGACTTCTTTAAGAGGCTTCATCACAGTCTAGCTTACATTTCTTCCCACATATATTTGATCTTCTTTGCCTAATAATGAGCAACTTACCTCTTTTCAGTGCTGGTTTCTCCTCAAGTACTAGAATAAGTTGTGGCATACTGTGGGCCGGAAACAGATATAAAAGTAGACAAATAAAGATACATCTCAAGGATATTCATCACAGAGTAGTTTCGGTAACCATAAATATCTCAGGATAGTGAAGAGGTTAAATAAATTATGGGTAGCTATTATTATGCTAGTATGTTAGTTTTTAAAAATGATTACCTAATTCATATTAAATGCTGAGGAAAGACATTTGTAATAAATTAACGAGCAAGAGAGGCAGGTTAAAAAATTGAGAGGTTATTGATAAACAGATGAAAAGTAACAGGATATACTGGAGTATGTGAGGAAGCCATTTAGATTAAAACTAATTCGGCCTGACCTTGTTTTTCCAAAAGGGCCTGAAGTGGCCTGTTGAGCATGCATTGTACCTCTGCTTTAAAACATTTACAGTGTCCCAAAGACAAGAATGATGCCCTTAAAGATAGGGATGTAACCCCCCCCCCCCCCTCCCCCCCCCCGTACTGGCATTTCTTTAAGGGTAAGGGTCTCTTCCTGGAAACAGGGGATTAACTACAGCCCTGCTGTGCTCACCTTGTGACCACTGACCTGCTGACTGCCAACCTGCTGTGCCAGCTAAGCATCTCGTGACAGGAGTAAAAAGAGATATTCCTGTCACATGTGATGTATGCTCTTTGTTCCAAGACAGTGTGGGGACTGGAATTGGCCACCCCAAGATATACCTCTTCGGCATGATGATTATTTGAGGCTAGTTACTTTGAAGACAGGAGAGCAACTGAAAAGTAGAATTTATTTACCCTTTGTAAGAGACATTTACATGGTAAAGGAACTCTCCATCTGTAAAGATATCTCCCTCTGTACCAGGAAGAAGGGGGGATGACCTTGTCTCTAGAAACTCTTAATCAATGCCAAAGGCAAGGACTTAAATCTGCATTTTGTTTACCGTACTTGTGTGGTAATCTCCCATGATTGACTCCCACTCCATCCCCAACATCCTCCTTTGTTTTTAGATATTTAAGTGGTGGTTTCGGCCATTTTGGCGAGTTGCTCAGTTTGCCCGACCTCTTCCATGTATACATGTTATAAAGCTTTCTTTAATTTTCTCCTGCTATTTTGTCTCATATGAATTTAATTCGCTCTCCGGCCAGACGAACCCACATTTGGGAAGAGGAAAAGTCTTACTCCCTACAACAGTATATAACTACTTGTACACCCCAGTTCTTTGGTATCCTTCAGGCTATAGTCCTAAAACCTGGCTCATGATAAACTCACCCCAATTTTGATTTATAGATTGATTATGGATTATTTGCATCAACATTATGTACAGTTGTAAATAAGAACAAGCTCTGTGGTTAAAGTTCCAGTATGTCAATTTTAGCTCTGAAAGTGTCTTAGTAAGTATTATATCTGCACTGCCTAGATTTCCTTAGCAATAAAAGGAAAAAAACAATAGTTTTTCAAAGAACTGTTGTCAGGATTAAGTGAAAAAACAACAAAATATTATCTATTTTTTATTGATGATGAAGAGACTATTTCATGTCCTGTAATCCATTACTATTAAAGGAAATTCTCTTCTGTTCTTACCATTTTTTTCTGAGAGTGAAATTTGAGTTTCTTAGATCTGCTCTTCCTTGTAATGCTAATATATTACAGAGCACAGCTTGTGAATGTTAATTAGTCTTTACTAACAACATTACCCACAAAGAGTTTCAGAAAGAAAACGAGGACAGCAGCTGTGCAGAGCGAGGGACACCGTTCTGCTTCATAAAACTAGTTCAGAGAATCAGACCCATTTAGGTAAGAAAATGAAAATATTAACAAAATTCAATCTTGCTTCCTGTCTAACTCATTTATGCATATTTATAACTACTAACATCGAATTCTATTATCTCAAATTATAAACCCACATTGTCAGCATGACTTGTATAATGGAATCTCCTAAGATACCTGGTCTTGAGATATTAGTGCTGTCTTGTTAAAGTTATCTAAATCTGTAAAAAAAAAAAAAAAAAAGAAAGAAAAACAAAAAATTAAATACTTAATTGTGAGTAGCCTTACTTGATAATTTGTTCTCCTGGAATTATGCATAAATTGATATCTACAATTCCAAAAGGTGTGAATACTCAGAAGGTTTGTCAAATCAGTTGGGCAGCATTGTCACTTCCTTCTTATCCCTACTGATAAAATTAATTCATATGTCAGGACCCACAAAATGGAGGCCACCCCAGTGGACCAGCCCAGTCACAAATCTAAACCTAAACCAACCTACACTTAGGGGAGATGCCTCACTGTCAAGGAAAGCTCACATACACCAATCCCAATCCTCCAACTCAGCTTTAGCTAGCTTATCTTACCCCAGAAAATAGGACCTGCTATCTTATAAGGAAATCCCCAACCTCCTAGAGAACCATGCCCTGTTCTAGAGCTGCCTCTTCTAACATTCTATAAAACTGTCTCTTGCCCAAAATCCCTCTGGAAGAATGATCCACTGTTTGTGAGGCCTGCACTCCCCCCATGCACAGATTGCTTTCCCTTGAATAAAGGACATCAAAATTGTTTCAGTTTTGTCATTTGACACTACATACATGGAAGTACAACAAAACAACAAATGATTGGGTTGGACTCCTTTTTCTAACTAAGAGTTAGGTCTTTTCTCATTTAAATGACCAATTTGTGTCAATTTTTCTGAAAAAACAAAATCACATAAACATAAGCACAGGGAAAAACTTATAAGAACGTACACCAAAATGTTCATAATGATTATTTCTGTATGCTAAAACTGAGAACTTTAACTTTCTATTTCATAAGTTCAACTTAGATTACTAATTTTTTTCCAACAAGACTGTGTTAATTCCATCATCAGGAATATACAACAATACCTGTTCCTATTTAAAGCTTTCTTCTAAAAAGAGCTGGAGGGAGGGCTATCTCCTACTTATTATGAAAACTGAGCAAACAGGCTGGCAAAATGACAGGTGACGGCACTGAAACCAGCATGAATGAAACAAATAAACCTACCAAGTCTTGTATCTTCTTTTACCTGTGTTTCATCAATATAACAAGACACTTTCCATGTTAAGATTCTCCTGTGAATAAGCACAACTCAATTAAGTGACACTTTCAGACTAAACAGTTTTTGGTCCATAGAAAATGCTTAACAAATGTGGCTTTATCATTGCCTTTTTCCACTGAATGACCAGTTAATGTATCATATTGGATATAATCCTTGAAAAATTGCTAAGAAATGCCTATAATAAAGTGATTTATAATTTAGCAACTTCTTGAGTACTTTTGTTCAATAACATGAATATTGTGCAGCATTGCATTTTATATTTTTTATGTTAGAATATCTTCATTATCTATATAATGTTAATCACCTAGATGTAATGTGATTAACATTTACATAATACAGGAAATTACACTTGCAGGTGTAAGCTATTGATGATTCTAGGTCAGTGGTTCAGACCTGTTTGGGTCATGTATACCTTTCATAGTCTCATAAAATTATAGAGTTTTTCCCCAGGAAAAATATGCGTTCATAAAATAAACATACAATAATTTGGTTTACAATTTCAAGGCAAATATTTTAATGTGAAGTGCCGGAGTCCAGCTCCAGCAGAGGGAGAGACCGAGTCAGCGCTATATACAAGAAGGAGACCTGAGGCTTGAGTCAGTGCAATCAAGTCTGACTTTACTGTGCACAAGTGTCGTTTTTATATTTTTCAGGATTAGTACAGAAATAGCTCTACAAATATTCTCAGAGAGATAAGGAAGTACAAAGCAAGTCTGTCTTTACTGGTTTATACAGTGTTTTTATATCTTTTTTAGCAGGGGATAAATATAGCAGTTACAGATGTTCTTGCAGAGTAAACCACAAAGCATTCATTGATTAAGTGCATACTTACAGGGAACAGAGTTAACTTTTAGGGAGGCAGAGGTTAACTATCTTTTCCTGCACAAAAGCGACTTCAGCAATTAAGAAAAGACTTCTATAATAGTTTGCCAAACACATGCAGGGGAATAATATATTTTTCAATAACTAACATATGGAGGAAAATTCTACTTAACTACAGAGGAAGAAGTATATCTATGCTTATCAGGGAAACTGGAGGAAGAGCAAAACATCAACCAGAAGGAGGCAGCTGCTTTGATCCAAATACTCTCTTCAGTACGAACCCCTCATTAGCGAGAAAAGTTCTTCCACTATCTATGTGTGTCAGGGGGAGCTTGCCCCTTGCGATATTCTGAAGGCTTATGCGGTGGTCACAGTCTCTTACTATATTTAATTCTCCTGGGAGGTAGTGCCTCCCAAGCAGCCGCCCAAAGGAGTGAAAACTGGAGGTTACGAAAGGACAAGGAATGAAGGGCAATTAGAAGCAGCACAGGTTTCAGAACTATGTGAGGGGCCGGCCGGTTATTCTTTACCAAGGGGTGACGCTGCACCCCTCGGCGTTAATCGGCTGGACCCTGTCAAGCAGCCCATCAGATGATGTAGCCACGGCTCCCAGCAGTGAAGGATTCCTGTTCTAGACCATCTGAGCATGCGGCTCATTTTCTTCTTTACCAATGCTCATTACAATTAACTTCATAGTTTCACTGCTCCTTATCTATGAATGTGGAATGACTTAGAATTATCTACATAATAACAGGTTTTTAGGCACATTATTGTCAGCCACTCTTCTAGTGCTCTGTTAATATTAACTCTCCCAATCCTCATAGCAACTCTTTGAAATTGGTACTATTATTTGTATTTTACAAACAATAAACTATGGAACAGAAACATTGAATATATTGCCCAAACTCACAAATACTAAGCAGCAAAACTAAAATTTTAATTCAGATACTCTAGATTGGGGGTCAGCAAACTTTTCTGTAAAGGACCAGATAGTAAATATGTTAGGCTTTGTGGGCCAAAAGGCAAAATCAAGGATATTATATAGGTGCTTATCTAACAACATCCATGCCAATCTTCCTCTATGTTTTACTATGTGGGCTGCCAGCACAGCACGGCTGCTAACAGAGCAGTGTAGGTCTGTGCCCAGAACTGAACCTGGGCTGCCAAAGCGAAGCATGCTGAACTTAACCACTAGGCCACAGGGGCTGGCCCCACAAATTTTTTTATTGACAAAATTCAAAACTTTATTTATGGGCACTGAAATGTGAATTTCATATAATTTTCAAGTTATGAATTATTGTTCTCCTTTTGATATGTTGTCAATTATTGAAAAATGTTAAAAACCAGTCTTAGTTCATGGGCCATACGAAAAATAGGCTACAAACTGGATTTGGCCTGCAGGGTCACAGTTTGCTGATCCCTGCCAACACTCAGAGACCATTATACCCTACTGTCTCTCAGTCGACACAATTATATGACTTGAAAAAAACCTGATGCTGCCAAATCTTATACAAGAATTCGTTGGTACCACATAAATCTCCCAATGGATTCTCTGGGGAAAAAATCCTGCCTTTCTTGACAGAGATCTCTCTGCATATACCCCCAATAATATTCTTACTCCTAAAAGCCTTCAAACAGAACTGTTACTTACTGAAATCAATCAAATCTTCTCCTCCCTTGCCATTTTTCTGCTTACCTCTCTGAAGAATATCTAATGTATCTAATGTGTAATTCTACCTAAGCATTGGTCTCTGAACTAATCACAGTAAATAGGACGATTATTTCTGCATCAGGAGACAAAAAGAGCACAAGGGGGAGGTGTTGCAAGTGGTCACAGGAAAATGAACTGTAGGAAGGGTATCTGATGAGGAACTGGGAAAGAAGGGGATCCATCCTCATAGGACCCTCATGAACTGGGAAGAGAAGGCCTAGAGACCAGGTAAATGGTTAAGCCACTATTTGGCAGGGCATTTCAGATGAAGTTGTTCTCTATCCTGAAAAACAACAATGCATTTCATAAAGACAAAGTTCAAAATGACCTCTAGCTTAGCTTTGAGATGTGCAACTGCAATGCTTTTCTCCTCTCATGGCCCTTTTTTTTGGAATAAAGCAAAACTTGGAAGGAAAAGGGAATTATGACATAGCAGGCCTTTCTTGGAGCCCAGACAGGGTAAATAAGAAGACATTCTTCATCACTAGCAAGCCTCCAGCATCCATATTAAACAGACCCAGATGAAGGGTGAGGAAGACTGGAATACTGTTGACTCTTCCCTGTATCATACAGAAAAGTTAGGTTCACTGAAGCCTGGGACTGGAATCTGTTTCTATGTTCACAGCAGTTTCCTGTCGACAGAGCTATGGAAATGCTGTGCATCTGCAATATGCAGCTTGCCCCCAAAGAGCTTCCAAAAGGAATCTTTGGAGGAAGGAATCCTACTCTTTGTCCCTCAATATCACGTCTTCCAAGGACCCTGCCCTGGGGGCAATTCCAGCCCTAAAATCACCATTAACAAACACAAGCTTGTGCTTTTTAAATTGGGACCTTCATTCTAGGTCCCAAATACTCAACTTCCCTTTGACAGCCATTTTGTGCAGCTAACATTTCTGTGCAGCCTGGTTATAAGGTGAAATGACAGAGGCAGTGAAAAAAAACCCACTGCAACAAATTGCAAGAAACCATGGAATTTAGGATTAGCTCCACAATAGGATCCACTTAATGTACTGCATGCCTACTGCGTATTAAGCACTAGGCTGGACAATGGATGCAGGGCAACAGAGGCCACGCTCTAGAACAGGAGGCCTCTGTGGTTAACAAGGGCCTCAGAGTCTTTGATAGGCAGAGATCGAGTCACACAGGGATCTTGTCCACAGATTCCTCAGCCCCAGAACTGCAAAGATGAAGCCCCACTCTCCTAAAAGTAAAAAAAGCTACATTACGCCAATTTTGATCAGTCCCCAGTCGTCACAACAGCGCTGTCACAGGATCACACGGTCACACTATGACGCGCTCTACAGTCACAGTAGACCACGGGCATCCAAAGGCCCCGCCCCCACTCATGGTCCCAGGACCCTAATCGGGACCAGTCAGGGCCTCCCCACCACATAAACACACACACATACTCTCTCATCAGCATATTCCACACTGACGCCGTCACCCAATCGCACCTACACCCGCAATCACCTTCCTCAGCAGAGGCTGAGACTCCTGCCTCCACTTGCCCATCGGCACCTGGGAAACTCCGCCCGACCTGCGGTGAGCTAGCTCTTCCCGCACCCAGACCTGGGTCCCTTCAACTCGCCACACGGAAAACGATGACCGCAGAGCTAGCGGAAAACGAAGCAGAGGTCGAAGGTCCTTAACTCTCCCAGGGCTTGCGAGAAGCCTAGTCGCAGCCGCAGAAGCGGGGACGCTGACACAAACATAAAGCGCCGGCAGCCGGGACGGCGCCGCTCCTGGCCGGCCGCCCCGCAGACTCCTGGGAGCTCGGGCCTCGCGGGAGTGCGCAGGCGCAGACGACCGACCGTGGCCGGGGTGAGGCTGGCGGCTCCTCCGGGCTCTGAGGAGGAGGAGGGACCTGGGAGCTCCGGCCCGGGAAGGCGGGCTAGGGAAGGGGACCCGGTGAGGAGGCCAGGGAGGAACCCGGGAGTCCCAGCCGGGCCTGGTAATTCTGAGGAGGGGACCGGAACCGGGCCCGTGGTAACCAGACGCTCAGATGTGTGCGAGTGGGGCCTCGGGCGTGGTCCGTGGGCGTGACCCTGAGGGTGACAATCGAGTGTGACCTGGAGCGAGCTCCGCGAGGGGGAATTTTGTTTGTTTTGACCCCGGGGAGGCTGCATCGCACTGGAGCGGGGCCTCACACAGTGGGCGCTGAGTGTGTGTGTGTGAGTGTGTGTGAGTGTGTGTGTGTGTGTGGGCGCGCGTCCGGACCGAATGGAGGCGGCCCCCGTGCCCAAGCTGCTGCCTTCGGGTGCGTGCTGCTGTGGGATGTGGCGGCCGATTGTGTGTGAAAAGTGGACGGAGTCGTGTTGCTGCCTGGCTCGTGTTTCCCCTGCATGGCTCTATTTTTAGATTATATGTGAGTAGTGTTCGAGACTAGACTAGGTGACTCTGGAGAAGCGAAAGTGATTTGTGATGTGATTTTTGACCTTGTCTAGAATTCTATAATGTGCTGTCTGAGGTTGTGAATGACCTGTGGGTGCTATGGGCTGGGGCTTTTCGAAGTAAGTTTGATTGACTGTTACTATGCATGTGTTTGTAACCTGCTGTTATTATTTGTGATGGTTTTGTGATTGGGAAAATCTGTATGACCACTGTCTGGTTGGGTGTGTAAGATTTGATTATCCGAATCGTGGTCATTAAGCCTGCTTCCAAAATTGTAACTCACTAGCAATGTAGCATTACATTCATTCATCAGATTCACTCATTAGATCTAATTCATTCATTAGATTCATTACAGGGAAACCCTGTATGCACTAAAACCAGTGTGTTGAAATGAATAGTGTTATGAGTAGCGTGCGGGGGAAAAAACCATTTTTACCCATACCTAGCACTTTCAACACTGATATATGAGTGAGTTTTCCTGCTTTTGGTTGAAATCGATGGCAGAGTCAGTAGCTTCTTCAGGCATTCTAAGATAAGAAAAAGTATTTGGGGTACTTTTAATCACAAGGCCAGTCTCATTTTAGTAATTAAAATAGTTATTTCGCTAATTTAAATACTGTAGCAGTCAGTACTTCAGACTTCATTTATCAAAATATTATCCTCTCTGCGTGGAAGCCTATAGTGTGGAGAGATCAATTTCTTTTGTATTTCCATACCTGCACTACTAAAAAGTGTTGTTCAATAGTTAATACTTAAATTAGCTGTTAGTTAAATTAATAATAAGTAATAGTTAATTTTCAATAACTATGCTATTAAGTAGTGTGATACAGGTGAATTAATGAAGAGATGAAGTAGAGAAATTAAATAGAAAGTCTAGATATTCTCAAGTATATATAGGGATATGTAATATATGATAGAGATGGCATTTCACATCAATTGAGAAAATATGGATTATATAATATGTAGTGTTGCTAAACAGCAAAACATACAGGGAACAAAATCTTCACAAGGTAAAAATGCTTTAATAGTCATATGAGTAACTAAGAAAAATTATTTGCAACTTAAAATAGACAAAGGGTTAATGTACTAAATTTAAAAAGGAGATAATGTCAACCAATTAGGAAATAAAAACTCATAAGAAAACTAGACATACTATAAGAAGATACCATCACAGAAAAGAAATAAAAGGTGCTTATTCTCACTCATAATAAACATGTAAATTAGAACTACAGAACATATCTGATAGGCAGAGATTAAAAATTGTTACCTGCATTCATCAGGATTTGGGGAGGTATTCTCACATACTGCTGGTGACAGTGTAAATGGGTAGAAAGTCCACGAAGCACAATTTAGAAATACATAATGAACCTATATTCCATGGGAGATGGAAGGTAGAGCTGCAGAGGGCAAAGCACAATATTCCCTATTTCCAAGCTACAGCACATTCCCAGAATCCCGTCTATCTCACCAAGGGACTAGGTTTCTGGTGTTGATGAGGGAGCAGGATTTGTCCATTTTCCCACTAATCTCCATCCTGAATGTGTGTGCGTACACAGAGTGGGCAAGTGCTGAAAGAGTGAAAATTGATGCGGGTAACTGAGCTATTCTGGGAGATCTAGGTCAAATGTGGTTTCACATGGCTCTTTGTATCCTCCCATCTCTGCCATCTCAGGATTCTTGCCTGTTCCAAAAGAAGAGCTCAAAAGAGAAGGTTCATCTCTTGTAAATCTCAAAGCCATGCCTCAGGTGAGATGATGTTTCTTCTCTTTCTGAAATAACTTGTTTTCAGGTTATGTGAACATTTGCTCCTCTATCCTTAAATTTCTCGGATATTGAGATTTGCTTCCATGAAACTGAGTGAGGCAAGCAAGTGGCATAAGTGCAAAATTTAAAGACTACTCTCAGCGCTGTATGTCCTTAAAATTTGCAGCCTAGGTGCCTCACCTCCCTCACGCTGGTTGCACCTCTTTCCCAATTTCCCTTATTCCAACTAGATAAATTTAAGCCTTCCCCAAGTGCACCTTTAGTTGTAGCCAATGTTCACACAGTGATTGGGCATATCATTCAGCATCTCCTTTCTTAGTCTTAGCACAAAAGTACTGCTGGAACAGAAATGTATTATCTTGATTTAAATGGGAATATGTTACTTGAATGAATCTATCTTGTTGAGACACTGATTTGCAATCTAAGTTGTGAGGAGTCAAGGAGCAGGCTTGGAAAAACCTTGATCATTTCTATTGACTAGGTTTTGCAGTGGTATGATGAGGGGTGGAATTGGTAGATCATGTTATTAATTTGTGGTAAGATGTCCTGTTTTGTGAGGTTTTCAGGATAGAGATTTGTTTGCAAGGTCATACAGAAAATTAAGATTTTGCATTCCTCCTCTGTGATCCTCCTATCTATTTTATCCATGTCTACCATCAATTCCTATAAACTGTGGCCTGCCAGTATTTCAATGCTCTTATAGATTTATTCTTATCTTTTTAGTTTCTTCTAGTTTTTTATATGTGGGTGCAGGAGAAGGAAATGCATATGCCAGTCCACTCTTGAAGTATTCTTTTGAATCAAAGGTGATACTTTGACCTGTTTTCATATCTTTTTTTTCAGAAAATTCTTCTTCATCTAACAGTCTTTTTCATGTTGATTTTTCCCAGATGCTAATTGGTTCTTTTCTCTACACCATCTCTTTTTCTGTGTGTACAATCTGGTTCACTCTAAAGGTTATATTGATCTTATTCCAGTGACTCTCAAATACCTCTCTCCATCCCAGCCTCTCTCCAGAGTGGCGGAACCACATATCCAACCTCCAGCAGCTATCGCTACCTGTGTGTTCTGTAGACACTTCAAGTACATTTCCAAGGTTTACCTCATTACCTCCTTTGGTCCAGAGTATTCTTTCTTCAGTTTCCTATTTCCATTTTCTAGTCCCAGCTCCTACCCACTTGCCTATGCAGATAACCCAAGAGCTATGCTTCTTTTTTTTCTTACTCTACAATGAATTTATGACCAATTCTTTTGCAACTCATCATAGCAACCAGTTATCCCCTGTCTAGACCACTAATATTACCTTAATCTAGGAGACATCCCTAAGAGTGGTTACTTGTCTTTCCCACCTAACATACCTCAAGCCCTCTCTAGTCTTCAAGAGTATTGCCTCTAAAGTACAAATTTTATCACATAATATATGTGCTGACTTAACATTTCTTCATGTTCTTTATACTCCAAAAGCAACAGACCCAAAGTGGGGTATGTATTACAATGGAATGTACAAGACAGTGTATTGAAAGGGAGGAAAATACTAACAGTTTGCATTCAAGAGCAGTAATCATTAACAATATGAATCGCCATTAATGCCTACTGATGATTTATAAATAAATACAAATATGTTGGGAGTGTGCTCAGTACATTTTTGAGACCACTGTCTATAGGAAAAAATCCAGTTATTATTTCATAAATGTGCCCATTGCCTACCTCCATATCCCTTTTTCTTCTTAGAGCTCAAAGACTCTTTCCTAACATACTGTGCCTTTTACTAAATTTTGCTGAATTTACTGGTTTTCCTTTCCCCATGAATTTTAAAAGCCGATGTTCTGTATTCCTACAAAACAAAATCATTCTGAGTACAAAATTTTTATGTCCTCTATGAAGCCTTGGAATACAAAATGAAATTTTTCTTCACTTTGTAGCACTTTCCCTTGGACATATTTCTGTCATTGCATCTGTAATATCTATTGAGTGTATGTATTTACATGTATGCCTTTCTCAGCCTGTAACTGCTCCAGAGCAAGGTCAAGGTTTTATTCATTTTGGTTCACCAGGCAACCAATCGCGTTCAAGGCACATAGTATGATCTTGTATATTTTTAGCATGAGATAGTAAATACAGATGAATCTGTTTTCAAAGAGAATGTTCTACTATATAAAACACAAAATAAGAAAACTAGTCTGACCACTGAACATGGTCAGAACTAGGTCTCACGTGTCTGGTTCTCACTAGTTGCAATCACTGTAGGATGAACTAGAGTATACTCTTACAGGGATCAGTGTCGTTCAAGGATGTGACTGTGGACTTCTCCCAGGAGGAGTGGCAGCAACTGGACCCTGCTCAGAAGACCCTCTACAGGGATGTCATGTTGGAAAACTATTGCCACCTCATCTCTGTGGGTAATGAAAACTCCTTTAATCTTTCACTGTTGTGCATCTCCTTTCAAGAATTTCTGAAACATATGGAACTTTGAATTTCAGGGATCAGAGGTGGTGAATCCCTTTCTGGTAATGGAAAGTATGGTTCTGTCCTTACTTGCCTTAGTGCAGGTATTAACTTTGGTAAGACATTAATGTGTACCTCGTCTGCTGCCTTGAAGCTGTATCGTTCTCTTCCTTAAGTAGTTTTGAAACCCAAGCAGCTTAGTCCAAGTCTCATTTTTTATTATCAGGGTTTCACATGAGTAAGCCCGATATGATCCGCAAGTTGGAACAAGGAGAAGAACTATGGACAACAGAGAGAATTTTTCCAAGTCAGAGCCACCTAGGTGAGTCTGTACAGATAAAGTCAGTCCAGTGGACTCAGGTAGTTGACACCTTTGAATGTTTTTAGGGATCTATTTTTTTTTTTAATTGTGGTAAAATACACATAACATAAAATTTACCGTCTTAACCATTTTTAAGCATATAGTTCAGTGGCATTAGGTACATTTACATTATTGTGCAACTATCACCACCATTCATCTCCGGAACTCTTTCATCTTGCAGAACTGAAACCCTGTACCTATAAACAATAAACTCCCAATTATCCCCTCCCAGTAGCCCCTGGCAACTACCATTCTACTTTCTGTCTCTATGAATTTGACTAATCATAGGTACCTCATATAGATGGAAGCATATGGTATTTGTCCTTTTTGTGACTGGCTTATTTCACTTAACATAATGTCCCCAGTGTTCACCCATGGTGTAGTAAGTATCAGAATTTCCTTCCTTTTTAAGGCTGAATAATATTTCATTGTATGTATATGCCACATGTTGCTTATCCATTCATCTGTCAGAGGACACTTGGGTTGCTTCCACCTTTTGGCTACTGTGAATAATGCTGTTATGAACATGGGTGTACAAATATCTATCTGAGTCATTGCTTTCAATTCCTTTGGGTATGTAGTAGGATTAGAAGTACATAGTAGAAGTAGAATTGCTGTATCATATGGTAATTTTATGTTTAATTTTTTGAGGAACTGCCGTACTGTTTTCTATAGTGGCTGCGCCATTTTACATTCCCACCAACAGTGCACAAGGGTTCCAGTTTCTCCCTATCCTCAGCAACACCTGTTATTTTCTGTGTTGTGTTTTTTATAGTAGTCTTATTAGGGATCTATTTGTAAAGGCCTGAGGTCTTTGAGGTGCCTATACATGTCTGACTTCCATGCCTGTAAAATCTAAATTTTAATTTTGAATATCACTCCCATGTAAGTGCTTTCCTTGTTTGCCTTAGGTTTATAGAGATACTGACTGCTATTACCCTACCACAAATCCACTCCATGCTAGGTATAATGTACATAGAGATCGTAAGTGTAAAGTTCTTTGAGTTCTGATAGAAGTATAAACCCATGTATCTCACAGCCTAATCAAGATGAAGGACACTTCCATTAACCCATTAAGTTCCATCAGGCCTCTTCCAAGTTATTGCCTCCCACTAAGATGATCAAAGTTGTGATTTCTGTTGGCATAGGTTAGTTTTGGCTATTCTAGACCTTTTTTCATGTCTACTTTCTTTTACTCAGCTAAATGTCAGAGAGATGTATACTTGTTTTTACATATATAAGTGTTTTATTTTAATTACAGAGTAGTATTCACTGTATGAATATACCAGTTTGTCTATGCATCTCCTGTTAATAGAAAAAAAATTTGAAATGTTCCAGTTTGGAGCTATTATGAATAAAGCTACTGTGAAGATTCTTGTCAAACTCTTTTTGTGGACATATGTATTTATTTCTCCTCAGTAAACACCTAGCAGGTGGTATTGCTCATTCATAAGGCAGGTATATATTTCACTTTTTTAAGAAACTATCAGTTTTTAAAAGTTACTGTACCATTTTAAATTTTTACCAGCAATGTATGAGAATTTTGATTGCCCCACATTCTCTTCTCCATTTGATGTTATCAGTATTTTCATTTTGGTCATTCTAAAGAGTGTGGTAATGTATCTTTGCAGTTTTAATTTAGGTTTATCTTATGGCTAATAATGTTGAGCACTTTTTCAAGTGCTTTTTATATCTTCTTAAGAGGTGCCTTTTCAAATATTTTACCCATTTTTCATTGAGTAGTATATTTTTTTCCTTGAGTAGTAGGAATTCTTTACATATTCTGGATAGAAGTCTTATGTTTGACATAGGTGTTGCAAATATTTCCTCTAGTGTATGGCTTGCCTAATTCGTTTTAATGGTGTCTTTCAAAGAGCACAAGTTTTTAACTTTGATGAAGTTCAGTTTATCATTTTTTTCTTTCGTAATTATTTCTTTGACCTCTCAAATATTTGCCTTCTCCTTGGTTGTAAAGATAGTTCCTTGTATTTTCTTCTAAAAATGTTATGTATATTTTGCTTTTTTTATTAGTTTTTTGGCCCATCTCATATTAAATTTTGTTTATGATGTGAGGTAAGGCTTGAGGGTCTGTTTTCTTCCATATGGATGTCAATTTGTCACATCACTTGTTGAATTGGATTAAATTGGTCTGGCAATCTTACCAAATGTTGTTTGATCATGTTACTGTCAGTCTATTTTTAGACTGTTCTTTCCTTTGATATGTTTTAAGTTCTATTTCCAGGACCACCTGGTCTTCGATTATTGTAGCTTTCTAATAAGTCCTGAAGTCAGAGTAAATCCTCTTTCTTCTTTTTAAAAATCATTTTGGCTATTCTAGGTTATTTTCTTTTTCAAATACATTTTAGAATCAACTTCTTGATTTCTTTAAATAAGTGTGCTGGGATTTTAATTGGTGAGAACTAACTTCTTAGCAATATTTAGTCTTCTGGTCCATGACTATGTTATATTTTTCCATTTTAGTTAGCTTCTCTACTTCCTGTAAGCAGTGTTTTGTTATTTTTAGCATAGGGGTCTTATACATCTTTCATTAAGTTTATCTCTAAGCTTTTAATATTTTTGATGCTATTGTAAATAGTAGAGTTTTTAAAATTTCTTTTTCCAGTTTGTTGTTAATATACATAGCCACAATTGACTTTTATATATATTGGCTTTGCATACTTATACTGATGGTATTAAAATTTATTGTTGTTGCTGCTGTTCTTTGTTTGTTTGCTTTGGTTATTCTTTTAGATTTTATACATATAAAACATGCCTTCCTGAAATAAAACATTTTGCTTCTATATTTGCATACTTTATTGCTTTCATTTGTTTTTCTTTCCCTGTTGTACTGACCAGGACCTACAGTACAATGTTGAATGGAAGCGGTGAGAATGAACATTCTTAGCAGTTCACTCAGTTTGGAAGGAAGACATTTAATATTTCATCCTTAAGCATAATATTAACTGTAGGCTTTTTGTAAGGGCTCTTTCTTAGATTCTGGAAGTTCTCTTCCTTTCCAAGTTTTCTGATGGCTTTAATTTTGAATGAGTGTTGATTATAACAAATGCTTTTTCTGCATCTGTTGAGATGGTCATATGACATTTCTTCTTTAATATGTTACTATATGTATTACATTGATTAATTCAAATTTTAAACCAACCTTGGACTCTTGAAATGAACCCCAGTTGGACAAGATGTGTTATCCTTCTTATAGATTGCTGAAATTGGTTTACTAATAGTTTAGTAAGGTTTTACACAGTTTTACCAAGAATAGTGGTCTGTGGTTTTTCTGTAATGTCTGTGAAAATTTTTGTATGAGAATTGTGTCAGCCGTATCAAACAAATTGGGGGTGTTTCTTCTTCATCTATTTTCTTATAGAATTTGTGTAAGATTGGTATTATTGCTTCCTTACACGTTTGATGAAAATCATTATTAAGTCATCTGGGCCTGCATGTTTATAATTCAAAACTTCTGATTCCAGCCCTGAGGAAGTAACAGAGTCTGGGATTATATTCCTACGGGAAACAACTAGAAAACTAGACAAAACTATTTTCAGATATCGAACAACAGCAGCACAGGCCTGGATTCCTGAGAGAAGAGAAACAAGTGAGATGAGCCCTACCTCATTCCAGGCTTTCATCTGAAGGCAACTTCCATACTGCAGTGCAGAGAGAGGAATCCAAAAAGAACCTGGCAATTTTACTGACTTGAGGGGACTGACATTGACATTCAAGGAGATTGAAGTGGCTAGAATTTGTAGGACACACTTCTCAAAAAGAGGGAGCTATGCAGAGAAAGAGTTCCCCAAATCTGGAAAATCTTCTCCTTGAGTCTTTGGCTAAATATAAGTCTGCATGTGTGTAGGTAAAACCCCATGAGACTTACAACTAGAATATACAACTAAGTATTGGGGGGCTTTGGGGAGAAGAAGGAAAAAAAAACAAAACCATGAGACTAGACAAGGACATGTTCTAAGGAAAATACAATTACCATGGTATTGTAAGATGAAAAATTCTCATAGCCTACTCCACCAGGAATCACTTTATTTCCCTCCAGCCAGAGTGAAAAGAACTTGTTAATACATAGGACATTAGATAGACACCTGGGAAAGGACACACCTAATAAACGGGGCTAGATTAGCCATAGATTAAAGACTTTGCAAGATTTGTCATAAAAGAGCTTAAACAAAATCATCAAAAGGATTAAACTGATCAAAAATAACTGTTGTGTGTTTGTCAGATCCTCCAGGATGGAGATGTTGAGATTGAGTTAGGAGTATAATAGATTTCTTAGAGGTGATATCTATGAAATATAAAAGAAATAGAAAGTAATATCAGACATAGAAAGCCATCAGACCATGATACAGGTGTGATACCTGTGGAAGGAAAGGGAGAAGGTAACAAGATTGGGCAGAGAGAGCCTCAGACCATTATGCAGATCTCACAGTCTCAACCAACCTAACAGGGCAGTCTGAAACAAAGACTGTTCATCAGAGGAGTACCCCATGGGCAGAAATGGCCAGCCTCTAGTGCCCTCTCAGTGTTCAGTCACTGGACGGGGACTCCCTTTGGAGACCCTGGTTTGGTTCAAAATCTGAAGAGCATCTTGATAATGCTAACAATTGGAGGCTGTCAATAACTACACTTCTTGCACGTGGATGGCAAGTTTGGTTTTGAAGGGAGATCCTAGTGGTGCAACTCTGTAGCTGCCACATAATGCCAGAAAAAGACCAGTACTCTTTATGAAAATACAACCTTATCTTAAACTCAACAATGTTAAATTGATAATATCTGATGTCCAGTCAGAAGTTATTAAACATATGAAGAAGCAGGAAAATATGACTCATAAACAGGAAAAAATTCAGTCAGTAGGGAAAAAACTCAGTCAATAAAAACAGACCTAAAAAAGATAGATGTAGTAGACTCTGCAGACAACGATATTAAAACAACTATTGTAAGTG